GGAGACGTTGGCGACTCTTAGAGGAGTAGTAGTGGGGAGTAGTGAGGGGATAGCTCTACGTCTACCAGTTAGGGGGTATCATCATATACTTTTCCCATTCATTTTTATTTCATTCTGTAATTAAGAATGCCAAAATCATTTGTGTATGTAGTAACACTTGTCTAAGCCAGAATCGTTTGGGTCCACCATTTTCTTCTGTGTTATACAGATTTCTGGCTTATTCAGGTTTGCAATAAAAGCTGTCAATTCAGAAAACGCAATCGTTCATGGATGGAGTAGTTTGCACGCGTAGTTTATCTCACATAAAAACTACATTTCAAAGAAACAAGGATGTCCCGGGAGAGACAAAGAAAACGGCATACAGAAACGCAACACGAAGTCTAATGAAACAAATAACTCCATAAAAAGTAAAAGAAATATTATTTTCTTCGATATTTGTAGGAACAAATGAATTCATCAGATGATTTAGGCTTCGGCTTTTGTCTAGGTACTCGTGAATTTTGTGGCTACCACCTGAAGGGAAATTATTTTAACGACTCATTCTTGATTTTATGTTTGTTTTTACAGACTTGAGACATACTACTCCCAAATCTTTTTCGTTTCGTTTTCCCAAATCTACATTTATTTATCAACACCTTGACAGTGTGTTTTGTAGAAGGTTCATTCATCGTGCCTCTCCTTCCTTCACACGGGCTTGCGAATGTCAGAGCTACTACAATTAAAGTGGCTTTAGCTCGAGTGGCGTGGGAAATACGATGATCCGACGAGGTTAGCTCAGAAATGGACGAGCACAGCTCTGAATGTCTCGTGGTACGATGTCGCCACGCTTACAAGTCAATGTTTAATATTAAAGCAATATTTGTTTTCCGCCTTATCCATATTTTTTAATACTGTCGTACTAAAAATTCCTTTGGAAAATAGTCCGTTCTTAGATATTTTTTCCGGCGAAGGCAGGTTTCCGCCTTAGATTTTACTGCATCATGTATTCTCTTCATGGTCTGAATGCTACTAACGCCATATATTGTTAAAATCTATAATTCCGAAAGTGTCTTTTGTTCAAAGAAGACACGTCTGTGGATATTGTTTTCCATTTGTGCATCACTTTTCCAAGGGTGAAATCTTAAATCCTATCAAATTGTGATACACTCAAGGCCAGATTGAGAGGTAGGGTGAATGAGCTGCAGCCCAGGGGCACAAATTAAATGAAAAAAACTATGTTTTTGCAATAATTCAATTTTTAAATGTTTCAAACTAAGGTGAAATGATAAAAATTGAGAATTCAGTAAACATAGTCTAGCAATTTATTTGTAATGAAAATGTTATTACAATATTACCAAATATTATAATATTGTAACTTTCATTCAGTTAAAATTATTTGCTTATATAAACTTTCAAAGTAATAAGATTGAAAAACTGATTACATATTTAATATTATTTTGCACAGAAATTGAATAATGGTACTGCTAGTTTTAATATGATTAAAAGAGAAATATAGAATTGTTAATATTTAATGTAAAAAAGTGAGGAAATTTTAAGTTTCATTAAGACACAAGCTACTATTTTGACAGTGTGATATACTGTACATTAATTTATTTAGTAGTATGGAGGAAAAGGATCGCCATTAAACGTATGCCCTGTGATATCAATATAGATGTAGATGTTGTCATCTGACTTTAGGTAAGAATAATTTCTCTTCAATAATGGGTAACTACAATATTGTAATGTTTGTAAACAAGCCATATTCAGAATTCATAATTTTTTCAATCTCATTGTTGTGGCGCATCTTGAAGCCTATTTAAAACAGTGCACCCTGCACATCTAATTCTCGTTACAATATTATATATTTGTGCTTTCTTTAAAATCTACCATTTTATTACTGAAATCTGTTTCTTACTTAATAAAAAATCACAGATTGATTATACTCAGTTAAATAATTTTCAATTTGCAGGAATTTTCTGATGTCCATTATTTAATACCTAATTTCCAAGAACCTGTATTTTAGTGTATTTTGTAAATAACATATTAATGCAGCAAAAATATTTACAAAAGCATATTAATATCTACCATAATCAATGGTCAATACTAGGTCTACTAATATAATCTCTGAAGCAGCAGATAAATATGTGAGCAGTGTTCTGTTTCATTTCTTGAGATCAGATATGAAGAAAATATATGGGTCTGAAGCAAATTTGTGATAAAGCTCTAAAATGAACAGGGTTTTTGGTAAGTAAGATACTTTTGTTGTTAGGAAGACATGATAATGAATATTACTGATAATGAATGAACAAATACCAGAAATACTTTTTATTGTAAACTGCACTGTGTTAAATATTAATTTTAATATCTAATTACAGAAATTAACATGGAGATATCTGAATTAAATATATAATAATATACAATTTAAATATAATTATGTGATTAAATATAACACACGCTCCTGACCTCAATGGTAGATGTATCTAAAGATCACGTCATTCATCTCACATGTATTATTCAAATATTAAAATATTGCATAATTATTGTATATTAAAGGTTAAGTTGAAAAGTCTCAAGAGTTCCACATTTTAATAATGTGCATAAACAATTTGTTTTTGATACCAAAATCTAGGCATTTTATTTGAATACAAAAAAGCAGTCTTATTTCAGCATGACAAAAATGCATACGATGAAATTTATTTACAAAGTTCAAATATAAAATTGGGTGAATGAATAAAAATGGAATCTGGTTGTGAGAAACTACCTGTAGTTGAATATAATTTGCCATAAAGTAAAGTTGGTTAAATTGACTCTCGATCAAAGTGGATGTAAATGGTGTTACCCAGCTCGTTTTGAAAAGAAAATAATGAACATTCACCACAGCCCAGATTATATAAATGCATAACAAGTACATTAATTATTACACCAACAATTACACTATTAATTAGTAGAGTAACTCTAACTATTATGTACTTACAATTTTTTTATGTTTGATAGTGTTATATTTTTTCTTTGGTTTATAAAATATAATAATGATTATGCATTACAATGTATATAATGATTATTGAAGTGATGTAAACGGTTAACAACCTCTGTACTTGTTACCTTAATGATTAGTGTAATTGTTGTGTCGATTGTGTAATGGGTGCTGGATGTTGCAATTGGGTTGAAGGCAGGGCTCTTTTGGGATCTGTGGTTGGCAAGGATACTTTGTAATCAGATGCTTTTGAGTATTTAGAGCAGGAAAGGTTGAGACATAAAACAAGAAGACATCAATAAGTATCTTAGTAAATAGTCGATAGTATCTTAAAAAAATCAACTATTCAACAATGTTCAAAATAGAAGGGTTGCATTCAACATGCTTGGAGCCAGAGAATGAATGAGAAGTAGAGCAGCAAAATTTGAGGTATTCCGTGAATGTACCAGCTGAAATGAAACAGAAATAAAATGTGTTAATCAGCCAAGTTTCTTGGATGAAGAAAGGATGCAAAATTTTAAGGCATTTCTCATTCTGAGTATTTTGTTCACTTACTTTTCATAAAAATTCATTTAGTTTATTACAACATAATTTTTTAAAGTTTTGTATATTTTCTCTTACATCACATGTAAGATAATTGCATCTCATATTTGATCGTAGAGCCTATCATAGTGAACTCAAAACTTATTACTTTAATTTAATTCACTAGGAAATAGTAATCATTGATTACAATACATTATTACACATATGTTTTGTTTTTCAAACTATTAAGTTGCAATACTCAAAGCAAGAAGTCTTCGATGTTAACACTCATAAAATTTATTCCCATAAAATTGATATATGTGCAAAAATTAATATTTAAAAAATATTTATAATTTTTTATTTGCTGCATTGTGTGATAAACAAAGATAAATTCAGTTTCTGAACATGAACACCAAATTAAATCACAACTTAAATTGTAAAAGCAAAGAATTCACAAAGCAGAACTATCATAACAATTAAGAGGTTTTGATATGGTGTTAATTTAAAAAATATAATTTTCATAAAACATACACACCCCTAATTGAAACCTTCTTTTAATAAGGATTCCAAAACGAACTCTGCGCAGTTGTTTTTCCCATTTACTTCTTCTTTAATTCCCATGTATTGCAACACAAAACTTGAGGATTCTGTTTACTCTGGTTGGTTTTGGTTTGGGAAGCAAGTCCTCCTGCACAATACAGAGAAAAGTTGACACTATTGTTAGTAGATCTTATACTACCACTAGATTACTGTAGTATATTCTTGTCAGTCATCAAGTTTAGATATCATCTCAGGGGCAGATCCAGAAAATATTTTGGAAGGGGGAGGTAGCACTTCAGTTCAGACACTTTCCACAATTTTTTAGTGTTAGCTTGAAATAAAAATATTGTTTATTCATTACAGGAATGCTCTTTGGATGGGCTGCAAATGAAATTAAAAGACTGAATACATGGTATAAGATTAAAAAAAATGTTGGTTTTGGGAGGCCTCTAGAACCATCTATGGATTTACTGAGCCATCTCTGAACCAATAAAATATAAATTTCACAGAAATTAAACCTATCAGACTGTGAATATTTGAAATTAGACATTTATGTTATAAATTTAAAAAAATGAAATTTCATTTTACTTTCAGGGTCTTAATAGATGGTTGCAATATTTCTTCAACAGTGAATTATGAAGATTAACACATTTTTTCAATAGTACATACCTGGTCAATTTTAAAAACTTTACTCTTCACCACAAAGGCTGTTGGTAAATTATTATTATTATTATTGTACTGAAATAAAATAGTTGAATAATCCAAACAAAAATGGTAATTATTATTGATAAGTTTGTTACAACAGTAAGAAAGGTATCAATTTAGTCTTTTAATTCATTTAACAATTCTCTTTAAAATATATTATGAATAAAAAACACATTATATATCACACAACTATAAACTGAAGAACCTCAGAACTCTATTTAATGAAAACTCAGAATTTCATTCATCAGTTATATTTAAATTTGTCTCTGGTAGATTTCATTTATTCACTGATAGACTCAGATTCTTCTGCATTTCTCATTCTCTTTACACCTCTTTTCGATGGGAAAGCAGATGTGGCATTATTTATTTGGGATGGCCCTGCTTTTACCTCTATTTTTTCTTTCTTTTTTTTATTAATGTTCAGCAAAGTGGCTTTAACACTTTCTTGCATATGCACTTCTGCAGATGTTATCTTTGATTGCCATGGAATTTCAGAATCCCCTGAAGTTTCATTAATGTTGCAAGATATTGTTTCATTCTCACAGATCCCTTCCACTAAATTTGTGGAACCAGGAACAGAAGCATTTCTTGTAGTACATGTTGTACCAGAAAGCTTAGTATAATTGTTACATAGCATCTCAAACTTTTTCTTTAGCTGTGCATATTTATGATTACTCTCTGCTAGAGCGATTTCCATTTTACATATTTTTTTCCTTTGTTCATTGATAAGAGAAGCCTGTTTCCTCAATTTAATTTCTTGTGCACTAATTTGTAAAGATTGGTAACATTGACAAGATTTTAAGTATTGTATATCATTGGCAATATCTTGTAACACTGAATAAATTTCTTGAGGACGGACATATGATTTATTCATCCACGAGCATCCTGGTGCAGGGAATGCAGGTGTATTTAATTGAGGACCAGCATATTTATCATCAGAATATTCACCCAAGTAGCAAGAAACAATACTATTATATGATGGCCTAAAGCCCTTATTTGCAGCATATTTATGCGAAGATGAGTCATTTCCAGCGGAGACGGCGGAGGAATCTCCTTTTCCAGAATTTTCATTTGCATAATCGCGTCTTCCAGAGTTCGCGGTTACACACTGTTGATCTGTAGAAAATAAAAATCCAGGTTGTTCAACTGCAGAAAACAGAGCTGATGTATTCTTATGTACAGAAAACTCTCGTTGACTTGGAGCCAATCTTTTGCGATATCTGATTACAGGTAAAATATGTTCTTGGAAATGTTCTGTTGCCATTACTGTTAGATTTTCAAGTTCTGCCAAACCGATTCTAGGTCTCGTATTGCACTTCCCCAAATAAAGTAGAGCAGAATATATTTTACCAAGAATTTTTCCTGGTATAAAAGGACATCGCCCGTCTTCCATATATTCTGAATAGGTTTCGTGTAAACGCCTTAAAATGAGATCAATATGCCACAATATGACTTGATGGTTGAAATAAATACTGTTATTTCTTTCCGTGATATTTCGCGGCATTTTCTTCTTAATCCTTTCTTGAACAAGGTTAAAAAATGGTTTAGTGGAATAAAACCCCCAAGTTAACACATGTCCACACACATAATTTAATCTTTTGCAAACAATTCTGCATTTTGCTATTTCATCGTACGTGAGGTGAAACAAAATTGCCAAGAGAGCGTGATCTGGAAGACTTATCAGTGAATAAGGCATAATCGTCACGATTAAACAGCTTTCAAACTGCAAAACTAGCACTTTAAACCACAGACAAAAACACAGTTATGGCGGCTTCACAGTTCTAGAGGCTTATGCAAGCTTATGCAAGCAAGACGTGAAGGTACGTTCAGAAACATGTCACGTGACTACGTGCAGGGAAGAGCGTTCTTGCTGATTCTTTATTGGTCTACCCGGGAAATGAGAGAATTTAGTGATCCATACGTGATGAAAACAAATAAACGTTCACAAGTCTACTGAGCATTTTTTTATGAAATAGATATAATTAAAATAATCTATTTGATGTCAAATAATTTAATATTAAAATATATACATTTTAATATCCATAATATATATTTTAATTCTTCATACATTTAATGTTAATAATGTACATTAATACACGTTGATGTAATACATAATGTATTGAAGATTATTTATATGAATTCCATTAAAATGTAATTTATTATAAAATACTTTTGTCAGTCCAGTCAATATTACATACGATATATGAAATACTATAAAAACATTTAAGTATGCTAATATTAAATAATATACTGATGTAGGGTATTATTCATTGATATTTTAAAAGCTATCTGAGTATAAAAATTTGACATTAATTTCTTTGCTTTGTGGAATACAACATATATTTTATTCTTCATTTAATACACCGAGCCATTAAAATATATATATATGTACCTAGAAATGAAAATTTGAAATAGAACGTTATGAATAACCAAATTATTATTGACGAAATACACTGATTTCTCATTATGATTTCTAAATTATGTCTCAAAGCAAAATGAGGGTCAACTGAAAAGGAGCAGTAATGGTGGTAGTGGTGGTAGCATCAACTATATGCACATCCCGTTGACTTAAATGCATCAAATGCATTTGCACTTCCTGGTGAACATGCCTACGAGTTTAGTACAATTTTATTGTAATCTAAATGTAGGTGTTCTAACTCATGTGAAATTTGTTACGACAAAACGTTGTGGTGTTGCCTTTCCCCACTGAGGTTCCAGGTTCGATTCCCGTAGAATCCCCGTACAACCTCATGTGAAATTTGCATGCATCACAGGTGTTAGTCCAACCCCTGTGAAGTATCCTAAACCCTACCCCAATCCTAATTCCTTCCCAATTCTGGCTGCTGAGCAGTGACGCAAGGGCGCGGAGTAGGTCGCGGAGATACTACTTGGCGGTCCTCCTGACAACTGACTGCGACGAGACGTGACGGATATGACATACTGTTAATGGAGGATTACTCCCGCGCTGAAATTAATGGAGGATTACTCCGAGAGCGCAAGGCGCTCAACGTCTCCCGGGGCTTTGAGCTGCGTTGCGTCAATTAAAGACGCAACAAATTTATTAAAAAAAAAAAAAAAAAAAAAAAAAAAAAAAAAAAAAAAAAAAAAAAAAAAAAAAAAAAAAACCTCAGCCAGCTGAGTCTCAACCACCGGATGTCGCGCTGGCGTTCAATCGCACAGATGTGCACAGTGCACACTCACTTCTCGGAATTCACTACTTTCACTACTTTTGCGGGGCACACGTGCACACCAGGGAGATTCCTAGAATTCCAAACACACACACACACATATCTTTATATATATATAGGATGGACTAAAAGCCCCGCTACGGTCAAATATCTTGGGAAAAATACTTGCGAGCGAAAAAATAAGAAATTCATATTTAATAATTTTCAAAAATCTATTCAATGATACCATGGAATAATGATACCATACTGGAAATAAAATATAAAGGTCCGAAAAAAATTTTCTCCAAGAAAATTGACTTTGGAGGAGTAGTCATTATATACCAAAATCACAACAATCAACGTTTTTAATCTATTTTTTAATTAGTAGTCTCCGATGTAATCTCTAACATTATGTTGTCAATAAATGTCTCTTTATATTGACTGACGTAATATTTTCCCTTTACCTTCACCATTTATCTACAACCCCCAAAGGCGGGGAATTTTCCGTCGTTGTCCCTTTAGTGTCTCGCAACCGCTTACGGAGTAAAGTGTTATTTATTCGGTACCGCTTACGCAGTAGCGATAAAGTGATGTAATGCGCGAAAAAACTCCGCATTTTCGGCAGAAAACTCTTATTACAGGGCTCTAGTGACCAAAAAGAGCATAAATGCAGTTGCTAAATTTTGAGGGAAAATCCTCTAACACGTGGTGTAGCCAGAATCCAAGTTGATACCGAAAAATCGAGTGACTACAAAAGGTCTGTTCGTCCGTCTGTCTGGCGGTTGTGAACCATGCTAGCGATTAAACTGTTCAGCCGATTTTCTCCAAAACTGATATTCCCAAATCGATCTGATTGATGTTGCGGCCCCTTGAATTTGAAACCGACATTTTAGTTTTGGGGAGTACTTTACATGAAGCCCCTGGAACAATTAAAAAAAAGGTTCCGTCGTTTTTAATTAAATTTTGTTGTCGGATAGTGTGAAGGTCGTTTAATAGAATAGTGCAAGTCTCATTTTAGCTGTAAACTCTGATTTCGCAAATATTCAATTTTTTTCGACGTCTTCCTACAACTACAATTATGAAGAGAGTTTTTTCCCTTCATGACAGCTGTTGTTTGAAGATAGATTTTGAAATAAGTTTATGTACAATTTTTTCAAAAATTTGATTACTTTTGACGTAATTTGGTATGAAAATATGGACGAGAAAGTACATGCTGATTTAGAGCCACTAGTTGCCTTTACTATAAGGATTTTCGAATTTGCAATTGATGGAAATAAAGATTTCCTGTGACGACAACACACACTTAAAAGAGAAACTTAAAAGAGCGAAAGTTGCTGCCCTTCCTTCACTATCTCATTTCACTAGGCCAGTATCACGACCGGGGTGAACCGAAGCACGTCGCACTTTATTGAATAATGGAGAGGTAGCCTGAAGCGTGTTTGCCTCTTCAGATGACAAACTGCCCCTCAGAGACGAAAGCCAGACGGCACACAGAGTCCGTGCGTTATTGTAGTCCGTCGTCTGGTAAACTTACACCTGTGTGAAAACGAACAGAAACAACAGGGAGAAAGAGGCCCTAAAATGAAAATGAGGCAGAAAGAATAATGTACTCATGATACTTTCATGTCGGTTATACAGGCACGTAGAAAATTTTAATGACTCGCCTTTCACAGGAACAGCTTTGTTGAGGGTACGCAGTAGAAATTGTTGAAATACGGAAATGTTGCAAAAGACAAAATTAATATTCTATTATGAGTTGTACCGAAATACTTGAAATATCCATATTTGATAACCGTTTCCGCTGGAAAGGTTCCACATAATTAAAATTTGATTGAGGTTCACACTGACAAAAGCAAGCTCTCCACCATGGAAATATCGGGAGTGAAACAATATTATTATGAAAGTGCAAACTGAAGACGTTACCTGGGAAGCTGCTCTCACATAGATGATATCATTTATTATTTGATACATGCTATTTACTTGGCAAATTTTGTTAAATTATCAGAAATTTTGAGTTGACTGTTTATAAAGTAACGCTTAGTCCCAGTTATAGAAGAAGACAGAGACAATGTTTAATTGCCAATGATTGTCTAATTGTCAATGATTAATAAATCTACAACACAGTAATTTGATTTATATTATGCACATAAATTATTAATGTATCTAAAACCGAGTAATTTGATTTAAATTAGAATCAATATATAAATGTAAAAATAAAAGGGTTTTGATGATTTTATTTCGATAATGTAAATACTTTCTACATAAATACTAACATTTTTCAGCAAAAAGCTGGTAAATGAGACTTTTCAATAATTTAAATATAAGTTGTGTTTAAACTTTGGTGAAAACATTTTTTCAAAATACCATTTTGTCTCATTCAAATTTTTAAAGTGATAGATTTGGCTTTAGTTTTTTTACTATCGTCCACATTGTTTAAAAATCTAAAAAAAATACATGTTATAGAATCTTATGAAACACATTCTAGGAGAACAACTGAGACAGTACTCCAACGTTATCATGTTAAAAATCTGTTTCAAAACTTATTTATTTTTTCTATTTGAATTTGACGTAAAAATTGGTTGACAAAAATAACTTCAAACTGAACTATTCTCTCCCCCCCCCTCATCTGCATTTTTTTAAGCCTGATACGTACAATAAAAGCTGAGAAAAAATAAAACATCAAAAACACGTTTCTCGTTGTATCCCTGCAGCAGATTGCCTTAGGAGGCTTATTTTGACTACTTAGTATTTGTAGCATTTTTTATTCTTCATTTGAGCATTGCAATTATGGATTTGGTTAGGGGGCACTTTTCAGCCCCATATTCTGCTATACCATTTCAATCAGAATAAAAACTAGTATCAAAAATCCTCCCACCGTCGGGACTCAAACCCCAGGATCCTTCGAACAGAGTCACTTCATTCACATCAATTGATGCCCTGAGCCACCTAGGATGCGTAGGGAGGCACACAGGCGCTCACGTGAGCACCAGCTCCGCGGCTTCTGCGAGAAAGCCGCCAGTACTCGTGAATTATCCCCAAAATCCAAATTCTCCCTTTCAAATATGCAGGGCCTTCTGGTGATCGCATAATGTCAATTTGGGGGAAAATTTGCTAAACCGTTTAGGTGGTAGCGTGGACCGCAGACGGACATATGTTTTGTCATCAACCAATGTCTCGATAATAAGGGCACGCAAAACGTGTTCTCTGACTACACATCGTGTTCGAG